CCATTTCAGTGAGATGATTTCAAGCTAATAAGAACCCCCATATTATAAACTAATTAAGGAGATAGAAAATACAAATGTTATTTGTTTTTAGTTGGGCACTATTTTTATCACAAGAATCATGAAAAATTAAAATTGTTAAATACACACATGAAGGTTATCAGTCAAGGGCAATATGGCTTTCTGTCTCTCTGCCGCAAGATGTAAAGTGATATATAAGGAATTGCTCCCTGTGGGCCCCCAGAGTAAAGAGACTAATTTTGCAGAAGAGAATGCCACACTGCTAGACCTGCCAAGGAAAGAGAGCTGTCACAATACTCACAAATCTTGGGGAACTGAGAGCCCTTATGTTTCTTACTTTCAGAATGCACATGCACCTGGCCATAGGGATTAATCACTGCAATATATGTTCTTGTGCCCATTTAATAGAGGAGAATGTTAAGGCACAGGGAAGTTAAGAGACCTGCACAGGATTGCACAGCAAACTAAGAAAGAGCAGGACCACCACCCAGTCTAAGGTGCTTATTTAGTGACCCCCCACACACACTATCTTTCCAATGTGCTATAAATTACCTTCTAAAATAGAAGGTTTGGCAGATTCTTTTAGGATTTGTGACAGCCTGGAAAGCTCAGGCTCCAGGAGAGGCAGCATGAAATAAGAGCCACTGTGGTAAGCATCAAAGGACCTGTACCCTAATGTGATCCCAGCCTTGCAAATGTCACTTCAGGGCTGAGGGCCTGAGGAGTTTCCATTTGTTCTGCAACTTCACCCTGATTCCAGTGCAGCTGACACCCAGCTACTTTCAATGTCACCCACCTGCACCCCCTGAGCCCATGACCCCCATGGCAGGCAGGAGGGCTCAGGACCTATCTGGAGCCCTCCTCCCCTAGCACAGCAGTCTTCACTAGACCCACACAGGGAGGTGGGGAGGGCCTATGGGCTTCCTTAGATCTGCAGCCTCACTCTTTACTCCCATGAAGGCTGGATTTTGAATATCCATTATAATCTAGATGAGTCCCAAACTCAAAGGGCCTGCCTAATTAGAGACCTCACCCAATAGGCTAGAGAGAATAAAGATGTCAGGGATACCTACCATGCCAGGAGCAATCAAGTCCTTCCCTTGTCCCAGGGGAGAACAGGGGACAAGGAGCTAATTCAGAGGAGCTCACCCTGGCTGAGCCAGTGGCTAGGAGAGGATGATGCAGGGACATAGCCTGCCATGTGATACCAAGAGGCAAGTACCTTCAGAATCACAGTGGCAGCCCCAACCTAGCTCCCAGGCCAGGCAGCACCCCTATACCAGGAAACTAAGAGTTTTGATAACACTCAATGACCTTACAAAGGACTTTTACACACAGTAGCTCATTTGAGACTCTGAAAAACCCCAGAAGGCAGAAATTATATAACACATTCTTCAGAAGAGGCTGGCATAGGGGAACTTGACCTTGTGAAGAGCTGACCTCATGCCCGCTATGCATGTAGGACACTATGTTAATAAAAGTAGGGAGCAATTACTGCTTTCTACTGCTACTGAATGCCAGGGGCAACTGTAGATGATAGTCACAGAATAACAAGTGTACCTCTGCCCACCATCCCCGGAAAGAGCCATATTTTGTGATAATGAGATTTGAGCTTTCTTAGCTTAAGAGGGAGTTCTCTCTATTTTTATGACTGAAAAGAGAGGGTGTAGGTAAGGTAGGGATGGGTCTTTGTTTCAAAAGATAAGCCTAGAGATAGGAGAGAAGGGGAAGAAAGATATGCTGATTGGACCTCCAAGGCAATGGGGATGCCTTGGGTCTCAGAGTGCCCTGCAACTTTTACCACTCTGGAATGCACTTGGGGGATGTAGACACCCTGAGACGATGGCCAGGGCCCAGCATCTTCCATGGCAGAGCTGGCATCAAGGCACAAGCCAGCTGCTGGGGTTGCCTCCTCCAGATAACCACACGTGGCTGCGTCAGGAGGGCCACGGGCAGCTCTAGCACAGTAGGCTTAGGTGCAGGCCTCACTCAACTCTCCCCATTTTTCCTCACCTGCCAAACCCCCAAGTTTCTCATGCACTAGAAAGGTGGAGACAGAGCTACAGAAATGCCTGCTAGGAAACTTAGTAAGACTTTAGATTTATTTTCATTTGATGTAGGAAAATAAAAAGAAGTATTTCTCAACACCAAGTTTCACCGAGCAATTATTCATTATTTATTTTCATTTTCATAGTTACCCAGTAAGATAGAAATTATTAGTCCCACTTTCAGTAAGGCTCAGGGAGCTTCAGGAACTGGCTGAAGTCAGCCCCAGAACTGTAAGTGACTGCTGACTCCATAACCCAGCTGGTGAGCCCCGAGCCAAGCTGTTTCCAGAGAACATGCATCACCATCTAGAACAAGTGATTGAAAATATCACTTATTACTCAAGCAAATTCCTTCAGGGACTCACTCTAGACCTTTCATAAGAAGAAAATATTAGGGTAAATTCTGTTTGTAGCACAAGATCCACCCGGCTCCTGGGATCTCTTTGGCAAGAGATCCTAGATTCTAGTCTGTGTTACATAACCCAGTAGCCACCAGCCACATGAGCCTATGGAGTACCCGAAATGTGGCGAGGCAAGACCAAGATGTGCTATAAGCTTAAAATGATTTACTCTGATATGAAAAAAGAAATGCAAAACATTTCCTTCGCAATTTTTACACTGATTACACATTGAAAGGATAACATTTTGGACACATTGAGTTAACTGAAATACATTATTAAAATTCATTTCACTGGCTTATTTTTACTTTTTCAATGTGGCTACTGGAAAATTTTAAATGACCCACATGGCTAGCAACTATGGCCCACCCTCCATCTGGCCTGGGCCTCTGCTCATCCTTGCCTTGCCTGCTACCCCCAGGACCTGCGCTAGAAGCAGGAGTCAAGGTTCTCCCAGCATTCTAAGAATGTCCTCTCTTCTCAACTCTTCAAATTCCTGGGTCTGTCTCTCCTGTCTCCTGTCTGTCTCAGGGCCTCCAACTGCCACAGCACTCATATATGTCATAGTGACCAATTCAGAGTGCTAGGATCCACTTTAAACCACACTTTCTGTGGCCAGGGGAGTTCTGATTTCCAGGTTTGCAAAGCCCAGGTCTCAAACGCTGACAGCCACCCGAAGCCCTGGGCCAGAATGCATCTCTCCCAGCCTGCCCACTCCTGCCCAGCCAGACCCTAAGCTCCTCCAGAATAGAATAATGGAAGAAACTAAATGTATGGATCACTGATTGTGGTGCTAGCTGCTGGGCTAAGTATTTTGCATGGTTTGTTTTATTTGATTCTCAGACCAGCATATGAGTGAGATACTTGTTCCCATTTTGAAGACAGGAGCCTGAGGCTCTTGAAGGCCTGGACTAACTCTGTGCTTTTTCCTCTGCCTTATAGTCCTTCCTCTGGGAGCAGACTGAATCTCATTCTCTGCAATTCTGGCATCCAGCAGAGCATAATAGGTGCTTGGTGAATAATGGTAAAGCCAGTGAAGAAACTCTGACAGAGCCAGTCCTCTGCCCTGTCTGGCTGTGATCAGGAAGCATGCTGCCCCTTCTTTCCTGATGGTAGTCCTGGCCCGCTCCCTTACAGGTCTGGACCTTTCCTGCCTCTATCCTGTCCACAATCTCCCACTAGTAGACCCCCCAGGTCAGCCCTGCTCAGGTTTCCAGCCAAGACTGGAATATACAGACCACCGAGAGCTGAGGTCTGGGGACAGCCCAGGGCCAGCACCTTAGGGTCATGTTTAGCCCCAGGTACCTGTGGAGCTTCTACTCCCCAGCTCTGCCCCTCTGTATCATCAGTCCCTGGAGCTCAATTCCTTCCATTTCCTACTATAGACAAGAGTCAAGTCCTAGGCCCACTGGTGCCTGTGACTAATCTATCTCCTAGAGCTGAGCTCAGCTTTCTGGACTCCAATTTATTCTCTGGCCTGATTTAGAACAAGGCCACCCAGAAGTCCTAACGTTCTGCCCCTCCCTGGCTCTTGGCTCTGACCCTGGGGACCCTGACACTGGCCTGCACTGGAATGGAATTTGCCACACCCTCCTGGGCCTCCTGCTCCAAGCCACTGGCCCTTCTCCCCTTGCCCTGGTCAGTTTCTCCAGGCTCCAAGCTATTTTTGCTTCCATCTCACCCTGTATTTCCCTTATGGTGGAAGCTGACAGAATGGTACTGTGCTTGGCACACAGGGCAAAAGACCAGACAACCAGCAGGAACAGGCTCTGCCATGGGATTAGCTCACTTTAGGGTCTCCAGACCTGCTGGTCCCCTATCTTTCTAGTCTCAAGGCCCTGCTTCTGGGATCTAGGGTCCTGCCCAATGCTTCCTGCCTTGGCTAAGTCCCTAGACCAACTTCTGGATCCGAGACATCACCCAGAACCCCCATATCCTCTCTAGACCCCTATTCATGATCTCCTTAGCCACCTTCAATTATCTGCCACTTGCCCTGACACCTATGAAACGATGAGGGAATCACAAGCCTTCTTTTCCTTTTTTCATGAAAAAATACCATCCCATTATCACTCTGTCATTCAAGTTATGAGAACCAAACCTAGAGGCCTCTGAGTCTCCAGTCCCACCCTCCTGCATCACAGATGCAAGAAAGAACCACTTGACCCTCTGCTGCCTTTGTTTCCCCACTGGTGTCAGCTCCCTGCCTCCCATAGGAGCTGATGGAAATAACAACTTCTTGATTTGTTACTTGAGTTCCTAAAATAAGAGAGGCTACATCCATAAAGGTATCAGCCTTCCCACCAGGCCTAGGAAGTGAACCCAGCTGATGCTAAATCTTCCGGTGCTTGGCTCCAGCAAGCACATGGGCAAAAACTAATAACTATAAAGCGTCCATCTATCATCTTATCAGGCCTTTCTGTGCTTTGTTTGCATAGTTATCTTCCCAAGGGTTGACATGTTATGTCTACTGCAAGCTGATATATTCTCCTACCTGCCACATCATTCATAAAGGATAGACGAGTTTCAGGTTCATTACCTGTCATTACACCGTGTACATGTCGCTGGGGGCTGAAGCATCGATTCTTCTTGAGTTGCCCACCTGGAGGCTCCTGGTCCCACAGGCTGTGGACTACACTGGCTCCTTAGGCCATGGGTGGGCTCCACACCATCCCTTCTTCCTCTCCTAGCTGACCACTCCTCAAGGATGAGAAGTTTCTCAGATGAGCCCCCAGCTGCTTCAGAGGGGATCTGCAGAGAGACAGAGGCCTCATCACCCACCAGGACCAGAGACGCACATCCAGGTGTGAACGGTTCTCTAACCTTCTAGTCAACTCTCATTGCTCATTATTGTTTGGTACTACAATGCCTAGTAACTATAACTACACAGCCCTGTCATCCAGAGTTGTCCTTCTTTCATCCTCCCCACAGGTCTAAACACACACACACACACACACACACACACACACACACACACACAATTGATGTTTTCTTACCTCTGCATATTTTATTCTAACTACCTAAAAGACCCACCTTCAGTCATGCATCGAGATCCTAGCCACCATTCAGAGTCTACCTCAGGCTCACTCACAGAACTTCTGAGAGGTACCATTGCCCCATGAAAGAGGAAAGAAATAGATGCCCTCACTCTATCAATGAGATGTCCAAAAAACAAGGCAGTCTACCAAGAAATATTTCTCTACACTTCTGCCCAGGGCCCCGGAATGAGGCTTTGGTGTGCTGTGGCCTTGGGGCTCTAAGAAGGTAACCCCACCTGCAGTTGTGGGGAACATCTTTCCATAACTGTTACAGTTCAGGTCTAAAACGTCCCCCAAAAATCTCATGTGTTCAGAGGTAAGGCTTTCTGAAGACAACTGGCTCATTAGGGTTCTAACTTCATCTGTGGAATTAGCCCACTGAAGAGATTATAGTTTAATGGCATTTTGGAAGGTGATGAAAACAGGAGGTGGGATCTGGTTAGAGGGAGAGAATCATGGGAGTGTGACTTTGGGACTATACCTGGTCCCCAGCCCCTTCCTCTGGTGCTCTTGTTCTCTGCTTCCCAGCTGCCCTGAGGTGAACAGCTTTCCTCTGCCACACCTTTCCACCATGGGCCCACAGCAATGGAGCCAGCCCACTGTGGACTGAAACCTCTGAAACTATAGGCCAAAATAAACTTTCCTCCTCTAAGTTGTTTTTCTCACATATTGTCACAGTGGCAGAAAGCTGACTAACACAATAGCCCTTCGTCTCAAAGTGAGATAGAAGAACAAAGATACAAAGCTCCCTGGGATGAGGGACAGGGACACTGGCTCCATTGAGTCCTTCTGTTTCAGGGCCTAGACCACAGGTCACATCCTGCAGGAGCTGAAGCCAACCCACCCCAGCCTGTCCCTGCATACTGGGTCCATCCTGGCCACAGGCCTGGATCTCTCACCAGCTCCCACTGCCCACATGGCTGTGACCCTAAACTCCACCCCAACCTTGGACTCCTCTGGGGCTCAGTGGGCTCATTGTTGAGAAGGGGTTGTGGCAGATGGAATGCAATCACCCAGATAACCCAGCACTGGAGGCAAGAGGAAGCACCACAGATGGTGTGAGGGTAGCAAAGAAAAGGAAGGACACCAAGTCCTCCCTCTGTCCTGTATGGCTTCTATAAGAATGATGATGACAATGTCTTATATGCCACTTACAGAATAATTTATGCCTTTCAAGCTTCTTTTGCATCCACTGCATCCATTCAGTGTCATGCTAGCTCTGTGAAGGAGGGTTTTAAAGGTGAGGAAACAGAAGCACATACAGCAAACTGGTGAAAAAAGTCAAGACTGGAATTTCTAATTCCCAATTTTCATTCTTTCCAGCAAGCTCCCTAGTGCTAGGTTAATTTCATCTTCCTGAAAAGTCACCCCTGGGGGTGGAGGATGAGTGGTAGCAGGACAGGGGAGGGGAACTGTGGCCATTTTCCCAGCTACAGGGTTGTGGGACAGAGAACAATCATGCTTTGGTTTCTTCCTTGATAGGAACGTCTAAGCAGAGAAAGTACAGAGAGAACAAAGTGATAAACAGAGAAGACAGGAATGTGGAGGCGCCTAGTTAACAGGAGCGGCTCCAGGAAAAAGGAAATTGACTGTGATAAGGAGCCACAGATTCTGGGGGAGGCCAAGCTGACCTTGAGCCCCTGCAGCTTGGCCCTTCTATTAAGGCAGCCTTGGGAGGGGTTAGAAGCCCCTTTGAAAGGCCAAGCAGCTATTATTACTACCTTCAGAAGGCACACATACATTTCACATGCTCTTTTACATGTGTGCTATATCCCTAAAAATGAAAAGAAAAGGGAAAAAAAACTACAAATATCCACCCATGTCCTGGACAGTGTGATTCTCAGTGTGATTCCAGAGCAGCTCCACCTCTACTGACATAGAGGACTCGCACCCAGGACATCTCTACTAGCAAAGCCAACCTCCTTCTGGAACAAGTAGCACAGGCCAAGGGCCAGGGGGCCCAGGACAGGTGGCAGATCCATAGCGTCTGGCAGGAAAACAGCTCAAAGCACCCATAGCAGCCCTGCAGAGGCCAGGCCTCCTGCATCAGGCCCCAGGGAACATAGAAACTGGCCCTTTGGCATTAGTGCCCTGTGTCCCAGGCTGCCTATATCCTTGTTCATTCTTGGAGCTTTCCGTGAGTCCTGCTATATATAGGGAATGCCATAGTGGAAGACAAGAAAATGCACCCTCACAACGTCAGCCACCATCCAGCCCACTGGCTCCTCAGTCACCCGGTGGCTGGGCTGGCAGCAAAGAACCAGAGCACCCACAACCATGTGGGGGAGGGTGTGAGCAGCACTCCTAGCCCTCCTGTGGGATGGGGGTTGGAACATATTTACAGCAGATGGTGCTGTCACCCTCACTCCAGGATCCTCATTCCTAATTATCTGTACTGTCAGCCAAACAATTAACCCTCAAAGAAAAACTGCACTGTCCACTCCCAACCATATAAAAAGGCGATTTTCCCAAGGACGAGGAACACATTTAGGGCAGCCTGCTGTTCCATCCTGGACCTCACTACTCTGAGGAATCTTGCCATCCTCTGACCTCATAGTCTGTCGATGGCATTGCACTAGCTCCCACTCCTTGGACCTGTGGATCCTTTCCCATAAAAGGAAAGGGTGGGTCTGATCCCAAGGGTTCCCTTCACAGGTTCCCCACAGAGCCACCATCCTATAAGCCATTTCCTTTTGTCTGAATCTCAGGTTCCTTTGGACCAGAGATTGAGTTTCTCATTGTATTGTCATGCATTTGTTCCTTTGTTCACTGGTCCATCCATCCATTCATTCAGTTCTTGCACATTCACCATGCTGCTCCTGGGGGGTACAAGTAAAATACCTGCTCAACATTCCTGTCTGCCTCTAGGAGATCTTCTCCCCATAGATGTGGAGAGAAGGAAGGATGGCAGAATGGGTGGGAGCTGGCAGGGATTTGAGGCAGGGATGTGGATTGGTGTCAGGCTGTAGGCAGTAAGTCCTGTGGCTGCATTTGGATTCTCTCTGACTATTCAGTGATAGAAAGGAGCCTTACATGGTAAGCACGTCACTTGCGTCCCCAGGGCAGACCTGCACAGGGGTGGGGTGACATGATATAAAGGGGTATGGGATCATTTCCCATAGGGGCGCAGTCTCATTGACCACTGCAGGGATGACAAGCACAGGGTCTGCCCTTATAGGTGCTCATTAAATACCTGAGCCATCCTTAAAGGAGTTGTTTCAAAGCAGGGCTAAGGCTTGATATATACTACCTGGGAAGGCAATGATCTAAAGCCTTAAACGGTGGGTCTAATTAATCCATCACCATGGGCAGTCCTGGAAAAGAGGGCAGGTGAGCAAGAGATGACATCACTCTGGGCCATCTCTTCTACACATGATTCTGAGAGGTAGAGGGGCTGGCTGCTCACAGAGGGGACAGCAGAGCAGGCCCTGGGCAGCTGGTCTCACTCCTGACCACAGACTAGGGACTGATAAGGTGGAAAGGAAAGGGAAGACCCTGACTAGGGCACTATCTGGCCCACAAAGGCAACAGGCTCCCTCCTCAGGGAGGCCCAGCACTCTGAAAACCTAGGGAAGGGGTGCAGGAACTGGGGAGAGAGGCTCCCTCCTCTACCCCATCTTGCCCAGGTCAAGCCTGTGACACCTTCCTTTTCCCTCCCTATGGCCGACCCATCTACTATGCCCTCCTCAGTGCCCAGGAGCACAGGATCTGCTGCCAGGGCTTCAGCATAAAGGGACTGTGTTAGTATTCGCATTGGGCTGGTACCCACTCCCAATCTGCACACTTGAAGGCAGCACATGTGATCGCACACCCTGCCCAGAGAACCCAAGTGGGACAGTTGCCAATGCCTGGCTGGAGACATTTCTAAATATGAGCTTGGCCCAGAGAGTCAGGTTCCCAGGCCTTCTCAGCCCTGAAGACCTGGCCAGGATTCTAGAGGCTCCCAGAAAGGAGGGAGAGGGCTGGGGGCAGCAGGATCAGAAAGCAGCCAGATGAGACTGCCAGTGCAGCACCAGAAGCACGGGAAACATCACCTGAGCCCCTCACGCCCCTCCAGCCTCATTAAGGGAAGAGAAAGGATTACCCAGTGCCCAGAGCCTAATCAATTGCCCACAACCCTGGTAGCAGGAACAGGAAAGCCACTGCCTGCTCAAATGTGCACAGATTAAAAATATACAAATGGAATATTTTTTCTTCCCCTCTCCTCAACCCCCTGAAGCCTGAGATGCTTATTAAAACCAGCCTTGCTGTGGCGTGGATCCTATACAACGCAAATACTGGCAGGGAAATTAAGGAGTCACTGGAGACAGCACTGTTAAGTGGCTACCCCTAGGGAGTAGGCCAGGGAGGACTGGAGGGGAGGGGAGGTGCTTTCAAAGTGTCTCTGGACACACTTCTACACTTCTTGGATTTTTAAAAGCAAGATATTATTTTTATAAAGTTTGCTTTTAAAAAAAATAGAGATTTGCCCATTGCATCCTCCAGCCTAATCTTGAGGCTGGATTTATACTGATTCAGCAAGCCCAGAGCACAGTGCTGGCTGGCCTGGCAGGGAACTGAGGGCACCCAGGATACTCAGGATACAAAAGAGCCCAGCATCATCCGAGAACACTGCATCCAGGGTCAGAGTTTCCGATCTGTGACCTCAGACAAGGTGCCTGACCTCTCCAGGCCTATTTCCCTAACTGTAAAATGAGCCAAGCCAGGTACCAT